TCTCACGTGGCTCTTCCTCATCAACGTGAGTGAGTGTTGGCTTTGGAAGTGGGGCCTTAAGTCTTCCGAGCTTCGATTTGACGTACCTCAAGCATCATCTCCGCACCCTCCCACTGCCTCAGCTCCTCCTTGTATTCTTGCCTGCGCGCTTAATTTCTCTCTAGCCGCATCGTATCTTCCTCTTTCCATGCTTTCATCAAACCTGCTCGCTCGTCCCTCTCTTGCTCACCGCTTCCACGTGCTGCCGCCTCTGCATCTGCAGCATTGTTGTGATTAACAACCGAATTATAGACTTCATCTCTTTGGTAGTCCGTCTCCTACTGATTTCTCCCGCTTTCTTGTTAAACTCTTCTCTTTCTGCACAGCTAGCTGACTTGACAGTGTTTTGCTGTACATTTCCTGCAACATTGCATTGGACTGCATCCCGTACAAGGCTCTCGTGTGATTTTCCATGCTCTTATGCCTCTCATGACATGTGCGCTCATGTTCTGTTTCCCTGACAGGTTAATGGTCAAGGACCTCGTGTCTTCGTTTGTGAGTTGGTGTGAATGCGGCCAGCTGATCTTGGAAGGTAATGGGAGTGTCGGATACAAGAAATGATGCTGATGAAGATGCAAGGTCATCAAGGGCTTGTCCGACAAATGTATTCCAGTGTGGTGTTGCTGGGGCTTAATCCTTGTGATACTGATGGATGATGGTTGCGAGTGCTTTCACGGGACTTGGCTGTGAGATTGGCCTGAGAGATCTAACATCGCTATCCTTGATTTCTATGACGACACACTGTTCCTTGCAGTACTTATTGAGCATTCCACCTTAATTGTTGGTTTGGCATCGAAATCAGGATGGAAAATGTCTTCGCTTCGAAGAGGGCTAACGTATCAAGAAATAGAAGACCAGTTGATTCGATGATATCGCCACCGACACTCTCGACTTCATGAATGGTGAGTGATCGACCAAGATCTGGCATGTTCAAGTTGATGGCTGGCGCTGGTATAATTTCATATATTGAAAGGTCTATTTCGAGGCGGAAAAACTCATGATTTATGCACACAGTCACTCTACTTCAACTCGATATTGACTCTACCCATTTCTCAATCAACAGCAGCTCCAATGTGACTGTAGACATTTGACTAGCCATTGTTGGGGAAGCAGGCTTTGCCACTATACTTCTCAGATTCAAAATGTGAGTCGTCAGGAGGCAAAGCAAAATACTCTTACTAACCATTGGCACACAGTCGAGCATTAGACAGCAGTCACTGTTTGTTTTGCAACTGTCGAACACTTCTTTACATTTAACAGCCTTGACAGACATGATAGATGCCGAAAAAAAAAAAGCAACAATAACGATGAGGAAGGAGCGACACATTGTTTGTGTCTGGTGGTATGGGGTGGACGGTAGGAAGATGACTTACTTTATACTGTTGCGACAGTTGATGTTCAGTGTAGACTTGTCAGAACGAGCTTGCGTCGCATATGATCCTGGGCAGAGGTTGTCAGGCAGAACACGCCCTCTCCATTCATTTCGCTCATTTCATAATGCATTGAGTTGGCGACTCCCGATAGGAACACTCAACTCGAGCTCAGTTATTTTTCAATCTCTGCTCACACATTTGAGCAAAGGAATCACAAAAAGTCGACGCGAATGATCAGACCTCAGACCTTGATAACAGACTGAGAAAAGAGAGTATCGACGAGAGTCCGGTCATATAATCCTTGGTGTTCCAAACGCTCAAGCTCCGACAGTGGGACAAAGTTGGATGATCAACCACGCACACAATCGCAGTGTGTCAGAGCCAGACCCTCCCACCACGAAAGCAAAGCTTTCATGGTCAATCACTAAGTTCTACACTTCTCTCACCATTCTCATCTCATCTCATATCTCACAACCTCCAACACCACATGCACGAAATATGTTCATTCCTTTCTACTAGAAATCGATTCACGACGGTATTTCGTCTTCATCCCACCCCTTCATCTTCACCCTTCCTAACGTATACGGCCTCCACTACAAAGTCGGTGCGATACAAAAGACGGTAGGTGTCTAGATAGAACGAACTCTGGTGAATTCTATTGTACATCAGTAAGGATGTGTTGTGAATGGTAAGCTATGACTTAGCCCCAGCCGAGTACAAGGGACTGGGGGAAAACGAAGAACGAACTGCAGTGAAAGCGTCTTTGTGTGGAGTAACCTAATATGGTGACTTCGCTGGCATAGTGAGCGAAAAAGTGACTATGTACTACGATCGCGATGAGAAGACAATTTGCAACCTGACATATTCCAATGCCAACATATGTACTACACTTGTCATTGAACTCAGTGAAAGAGATCCCGTTACGACAAATTGGTGTACTATGTATGATTCATTGCAACGATTCAACATTCAAACTTGATGCAAGATGACGAAAGGCAGCCTGGCTTTTTAGTCTACTTTCGAAAGTGCTTGGTACAACAGTGATATCGGTATCTAGTCCTGTCTGATCCCACAATCCATGATTGTGAGAGTGTGGTCCACCCATTTCTTCATTCTGCATATCGAACCGTGAGTCATTGATACGAAAGTAGACACTTGACTCACTGTAGCAGACTTTCACACGTGCATACTGACATCGGACAAGGTGAAAAAAGTGGGTCATCAAGTGAAAATTGACGTGAAGCAAACTATTCATACTCACATCCATTCCGCAGCTCAAGCCTGCACAGCAGTCATTTGTTGTTACGCAACCATCGAACTCGTTTTGACATGCACTGACAGACACGATAGATGTCGCCAAAGCAACAATAACGGCGAGGAAGGAGAAACACATTTCTTGTGTGAGGTGGTATGGACTACTGTCTCTTTGAGATGGGGTGGATGACTTGCCTTTATACTGTCGCCGCAGTCGATGCTCAGTATTGTATACTTGGTAGAATGGGCTGTTGGCACTTGGCAGGGTCATTAGGCAAATCTATCATCTCCATTCATCGTGTGATCGCTGAGTTGGCGGCTCCTGATTCCCAGTGAAAACCGGTGTCTTAATAACCGAGGGTCTTATATAAAGTCATGTAAATGTAATGACACCACAATCACACTTTGGATAAGACTGCTTGCCAGTCCTCGATTAACATGGTCTACGACTTTTCCTATTTCGTGGTAGATAATGTGTGAGTTCTTGGGAGGCTCGCTAAACTAATCTTTGTCAAGATCAACCTAGCCGGAGCTTTACTTTTCTTTATTGAAACTCAAATCTCTTGTCTAGGAATAAGCTTCTAGACACGTAATTCGGTTTCTGGAATGTATTTGCCTAGGAAATCTCCTTCTAGGCTCTGGACTTGGATACTGGAACTAGTGAGACGTGGTCTCAAATATACGAAATATGACCAAGATCGCTTGGTCTATGGACACCTGACTGTGAGACAATGGTCTCAAATATATGATATATGTTCAAGATCACTTGAACAAAGGGGACTATAACTTGACCAAGATTGCTTGGTCTATGGGACTACTAGTGAGACGTGGTCTCAACAATATGATAGATGACTAAGATCGCTTAGTCAAAGGGCACAGAGCAATGAGACAAAGGGGTCTCAAAGACAATATATATGACCAAGAACACTTGGTCTATGGCACTAATAAGTTTCTAAGGTAAGAAACTTATAATCTCAAGGGAATTCTTTTCCCTGCACTTGTCTCACTTCAAAGGGACTGACTTTGCAAGTGAAATATCTGAGAGGCAGATTGCTACAAATGGGAGATCATATTTTTTTGGGGGAGAATGGGCTCTCCTTATATACATTTTGTGTGGGAAAGTAACCTAGGTTCACAAACAATAAAAAATAAGGAGGACCAATCAAAATATTGGGTCAAACCCAATAAAAGAATAAAATACAAGTGAAAGATGGAGCTATGACATCATTGTGGAGCAGAACATTCTGGAATGTGGAGTAATGACATCATAATGACATCAAGAGTGACATCATTGTGGAGCAAAAGATTCCAGAACCTTCCATGAGTGAGTCAGAGTGAGTCATTGTGGAGCAGAATATTCTAGAAGGAAATGACATCATGAATGATGTCATTGTAGAGTAGAATAATCTAGAGCTTGATGATATAATATCTTTCAACAGAATACCTGCAGGAGTATCTGTGGAGTCTTATGACATCATAATGACATCATACCCTATGGGTACAATTTTATGAAGTGTCAGGTGAGTCAAAGCATCCTAATGAAAAAGTAAAGTAAAGAAACACTAGAGAAAAGTAGGTAGCAAAAATAAGACAGTTGGCAGGAATTGAAACACGGTCTTTTTGGATAGGTTTTTTATTGGCTTTGTACTTTTCTCTATGGTTTTCTCTAGCCAAAGTGAATAAGCCAAAGGCAAGGCTATACCTTAACCTCCATTTCTCTTCTCACATCAACTAGGTCTAAATGTGATTCCCATCTCACATTAGACTTTTTCCGTCAAAACGTATTCAGATCATGAAACTTGGGGAAAACTGGAAATATGAACCATGGTTTGAAACCAAGGTATGGGTTGACTAGTCTGAGGACTAAGCTAACAGACTTTGTCTTTTGAGGGTCACCTAGTATTCATGTCCATGCATGATTCCCACATCAGGCAGGACACCGGTCAGTGCGGGAGCGCATGAGAGCGTGCGAGAGTATTACGCAAAGTGCCAAATCGTGTAGATAGAGTTGATAACCAATGGACGCCTGTTTTCTTGCGAGTGCAGCGCATGCAAACACATCCACCTTGCGTGAACGTTTGAACTCTGCATTCCCTTCGCATTTGTGTTGCAACTACACGGATTTCACGACTTTGCATTGCAATCACATTGCACTCGCATCTTCAATTGCACTCAGGTTGTGTATACTCTGGCTTAGTCGATGCCTACGACTTACTGATCCTTCTTAGTACTAGGCCTATATCTACTAGGTACATATACTAGCTAATTCAACAAGCCTTTGTTTTCTCAATGGAATCATTCTTGGTCCGAAACTAGACCTATATGAGTGATACTATGTCTAACTTATATTGCTGTGTCTGTCGACGACACGGAGGGAGACATGTGCAAATCAGGCGCACTACTTACTACGACCACCTGCGTGAAGCAGAGACTGACGAGGAACGCGAGCAAATCATTAATGCACAGGACGATCCTGAGGCCATCCAGCTGATTCGTAAATACCTGAGCAAGCGGTGTGCCAGTGCAACTCATGCTCCTCCTGGAAAACGCACTTGCACAGCCAGTCCACATGTATGTATGTTATTTTATTCAATGGCCATAGTACTAATGAGTTTATGCAGCATCAAAACGACGAGCCTCATCAGCCTCAAAACGACGAGCCTCTGCAGCCTCAAAATGACGAGCCTCCGCATCCAACAAATGATGAGCCTCATCAGCCTCAAAACGACAAGCCTCCATATTCACCAGATGATGAGAACCTGCAGCCTCGAGACAATGAGCCTCCGCATCCACCAAATGATGAGCCTCATCAGCCTCAAAACGACGAACCTCCACATCCACCAGATGACGAGAACCTGCAGCCTTGAGACAACGAGTGTTACAAGAACATCTAGACGCTTGGGCCGCTACCATTTTTCTCCTAATCCTCCTCGTATCAGCCCTCGCGTCATACCCTTACCCCGACCTTACCCTTATCATCCTTGTCATCCTCGCATTCCCTTTCGCTCTCTACCTGTCGCTTCAGCAAAGCCAGTACATCTGGCCAGATCCTTTCGCTGATGAAGCATACCCATGCTCCGTTCCACCACCTGACTGATCCTGTGGACAGTCCCCCTGCCCTTACCGTCCGGACGGTAACCTATGATATGATGCACGACGCATCCCCGTTACCCTTTTCCCTTTCTTGATCTCTGACTCAGTGCGCAGTCGCACATGCGACTTATAGATAGCTCCGCAGCTGCATGATCGTACCCCTGCGCGTTTCACTTCTTATTTCGACCTTTGACTCATTTTCTTATCCAGCACGTTCTGCCTCACCCATGTCTCAACACGAACGTGCTTTCCTTTTATGGTTATACCCTTTACTGATTGCCTCACTTGGTAGTACGAGTTATCACCCACTAATATGTCTCCTGTCCTCTATATAAACTTGCTACCATGTACTATATTCTCTAACTTGAATCTACTTGGTTCTTGACCTCCTACTCTCACCAGAGTGATCCTTTCTGCCTTGCCAGCAGTCTATATTCTATCTTCTTATCTGCTCTTCGCGGATAAGCCTATAGTCTCGATCTTTACTCATCGACCTCGTCAACGAGCAAAGCCCCTGTTAACTAGTTGGACTTCTGTCCTTCTAATTAATGACGATCTTACGATTAACCTTCGGGTGTCGTAAGCCTAGGCCGATATAGCTTATAGTCTCGCACCTGCCTGACATAAGCTACCCGATTTGGACATAGGCGTCAAATCTTACTTGCCGAAGTCTCGCCAAGTAAGACCCCTAACCTTGGGCTAGCCCAAGGATGTCCTTGACCATTGACAACACACGCTCTGTTTGAGCGTCGTCAACAGATACCATCCAAGTCGTAACACACTGTCGCACCTACAGAGTCCCCGCACCTATTACTGCCCTCTCAACAAACACCACTGCCTCAATACCTAGCGAGCAAGTTGAACATGCCACACCCTTACGCGAAATCTGTGTCACTCTCAATGGGGTTCACTCGGAGCTTGGGTTGCTCGATGAAGGATCTGAAATCGTTGTCATACGGGAAATCTTACTTGCCGAAGTCTCGCCAAGTAAGACCCCTAACCTTGGGCTAGCCCAAGGATGTCCTTGACCGTTGACGACACACGCTCTGTTTGAGCGTCATCAACAGATACCATCCAAGTCGTAACAACGAGCCTCATCAGCCTCAAAATGACGAGCCTCCACATCCACCAAATGACGAGCCCGCTGCAAACCAACCACAGCCACCCAACCCTCCTGGCATTGATATCAATGTGCTTGAGCAGCTCTCTCAACTCCCAAAATTTCACCAAGCTTTCTCATTTATTCAAGCGCTTCGTGCAGCATCTCTTGATGACCCAGTTGCGAAACTTACACCTGAAGCTCTTGAGAAACTGCGAAATCCGCCTCAGCAGCCACCTCTTATCGCAAGTGCAATTATTCGTCATGGTATCGAGATGTACTTTCATCTTGAACATGCAGCTCAGGCTGCATATAAGGGGATTGCCGATTCTGCAGCAAGAAGTTTTCCTGGAGCAGAAGATATCCCATCTTATCGTGGTGTCGAACACCTCGTCGCAGAACTTAGTGGTATTGACTCAATCAAACACCACATGTGTTTAAACACTTGTATCGCATTCACCAGTCCCTTTTCTGATCTCGACCAGTGCCCGTTCTGTGACTTACACCGATATGACCAGCTGAAACTTGAAGCAACAGGCAAACAGTTTCCTGTTTGCGAGTTTCATACCATTCCCCTGGGACCACAGTTACAAGCACTTTGGTGTGATCCTGAGAGCGCAGGACACATGCACTATCGTCATGAACGTACAGCTGCAATTTTTCAGTACTTGGAACAGCACAACGGTGAACTCCACATCATTGACGATTTCATATGCGGCAGTAACTACCTTGAAGCTGTCATGCAGGGTCGCATCAACGAGAACGACACAGTTCTTATGATCTCAATGGACTGGTGCTCAGCTCTATCGAAGCAAAATTTCTGATTGTTGGATCTACATTTGGGTAATTCTCGACCATCACCCCAGCCGCCGCTACAAGAAACAGTATGTTCTTCCTGGCGGAGTAATCCCTGGACCCAAAAACCCAAAAAACTTTGACTCGTTCTTGTTTCCAGGGTTTCATCACCTTGCTGTCACTACAGAATGAAGGCCTTCGCATTTGGGATGCATCTCGTAACATAAATTTCACTTCGCACCCATTCCTTGCTCTTCTGACAGCTGATGCTCTTGGCCTTGTCCATTTTGATGGTATGGTGGGCCATAGTGGTAGAAATGGTTGTCGAGTCTACTGTGGACTTATTGGCCATCGCAAACCCCAAGGACTCTCATTACTTTCCTGTCCTCCTTAAGCCCTTGAACTATACTGTTCGAGGGTGCAGTCATGATGATGTTGATGTTTTCAATCTCCCTGCCACTGGTTTGGGTTCCTATCCCACAAATCTTCGTCACCTTGTCAGTTCTCCGAATCAAACACAATTCGAGAAGCGCAGAACCGAAGCCAGTATCGTCAAACCCAGTCTTTTACTTGGCCTCAACCCTGCACATGTTCTTGGAATCCCTGATTGTCTGACCACCAATGTCATGCATTTAATTGCAAACATTTCAGATTTAATTCTAAGCTTATGGCAAGGCACGATCAAGTGCGACACTTCAGATGATGTTTGTACTTGGCGTTGGGCCATATTTCGTGATGACAATGCTTGGACTGAGCATGGTGCAATTGTTGGTGCAACAACCTACCACATACCTGGCTCATTTGATTGTCCACGTCACAATCCAGCAGAAAAACTCAACACGCAGTAGAAAACTTGGGAATTCCAGCTTTACATTTTCGGCCTTGCACCTGCGCTCTTGCATACCATTCTTCCACAAGACATATGGCTAAATTTCTGCAAGCTCGTATGAGGGATTCACATCGTCTGTCAGCACAGTATCTCACAAAACGAGCTTCAAGAGGCTCAATTGCTACTTGGTGAGTGGGAAACTGAATTCGAGCAGCTGTATTACCAGCGTCATCGTGATCACATTCATTTTATTTGACCATGTGTACACCAGGTCAATCATCTCATCCGTGAAACCATACGAAAAGGCCCTCCAGTGTGTTATGCACAGTGGACAATGGAACAGACCATTGGCAACCTTGGTCAACAAATTTGACAGCCTTCAAACCCATATGCAAACCTTTCAATGGAGGCTGTCCGACGATGCCAAGCAAATGCACTCAAGTCCATACTGCCATTCTTAGCTCCCCCTGACAATGTTCTTCCACGTGGACATCAAGAACTCGGCAATGGGTATGTCCTCCTCTGAATGAGGGAAAAGTGACCATATTGTCCACCAGCAATTCATGTAGCCCTCCTCGAAGATTTTGTCCATGCACCACTCCCCCAAATGCATCGTTGGGCTCAACTCCGACTTCCATGTGGTCAAATTGCATGCACTGCCTGGCATGAATCAGAACGGCCACTTGAAAAATTGCGCATTGCATGTCACATCAAAGTATGTGTTAACTGTACTTCACATAACATGTACTGATTGTAGTATACAGGTTATTATTGATAGGACTGTCCGCTTCACAGAAGTCCAGTACTTCACACAGGTTGCAATTGCTACAGAGAATATTGGTGAATGGCTCGATGCAAATATTGCTGTAATCTCAGTCTTCTCCGCTCCAGATGCTGACCTTGTTCAGCTTTCAAATCAAACTGTGCTTCCATGCAAATACCTAGGCGATGAAGGACTCTGTGTTGTTGATGTCACCTCTATCAAATCTGTTGTCACAATGATTCCGCACTGTCCTACTCTACCATCTGGAGTCATTGAGGATCACATTTTTGTTCTTGAGTGTCCTGGACTCGATATTTATCAATTTGGTGTCGAGCAGGATCAAGAAGATGAGGCAGACCAACAGGAAATGGAAGCTGAGGAGAGGAACTAGTTTTATGACCCTTATACAGCACTCGTCTGTTGTTCCTTCAATACAAGAACTTTATTTGACCCTAATATTGCTTGACATGGTGTAGACATTGTAGTATCCAAATCGGAACTTACCAACACTTGCTATGACATCTATGTTTAGGTTTTACCTTTCCCCCTTACCACCACAATGTCTTCCGTCAACACAGAAGGTGGTATCCATAACTTTGCTAGGTCGAGGAAGCTCTCTCAACAACACCTAGAGGCTTCACAAAACTTCTCTGAACAATGATATCCTTCTCCAATTACTCCTCTTTTCAATACTCCTAATCTTCCTTTGCATCAGTCGACATCAAGTAATTTTCCGTGGCAGCAACCTTATAATTCAGACATTTCTCCTTCACAAAATGACTCTCATTTTTCAAGCACTTCAAAGGACTCGTTTCCTGCCACACACAGGCATACCACAGACACACAAGTAAGTTTTATTTATATTCATAAATGTCATGTCTGGTGCTTACCACTCTACAGGGTGCATATATGTGTGATACAGACCAATTCATGGTTACATGACTCATATATGCACGACATCCATGACTGACGTTCTTTACAGCAAAGAATTGAAATATTAGAGAAGGAAAACTTAGAATTACGAACAGAATGCACCACCCTAAAGTAAGTTTTGAGTGTAGTGATATTAGAATGATAATGCTAATCTATAAGTAAGGAATGCATTTCAGATGCTTGCTAATTGTGTGAGCACTGAAGGACGTGGCTCGATCAAGTCGCATGGCTCAGTCCCTTTCTTAGAAGATGAAGATGGAAATCCTCTCAAGTCGACAGCTGTTGATTCTATCCATTGCACAATGTGTCGACTCTTTGAGATGTTGGCATCCAAGAATATTGCATCACCATCCTGGGGACACTTATCTGAACAAGCTTACCTTCTTTTTCATATTGCTATCGGTACAGCACACACAGAACTCAGATTCTGCTTGAACGACTGGAAAGCAAACGAACTGGCAAAGAATGTGTATTCAGCTTGGTGAACAGCACACAGGCAAGCAAAAGTGAGGGCTAAGGGCGTCAAACCTGAGGAACTCGATCAAGATAATCTAGGCTCTTATTCTGGTGATGATGAAGATGGAGACGATCTCGAGAACCAGAAGCAGAGTGCTGTGCCAGAAGATCTCACACATACCACAAAGAGACACAAGACATACAAGTCTCCGCTCTTGTCCAGTAGCGCTACTACCCCTTCATCAGAACCTGAAGAACTTACCTTGACCAATCTCACACCATCAGCAGCGCAATGCAATAAACCCACTGCCATCAAGACTTGGACAGTACCTCAAATCAAACTGAAAAAACCACTGTATGTCAATTTTTAAAATTCTTCACAATGCTAATTCTGAATTTATTGGCAGTGATGGTCTTACCCTTCCCCAGAAGTCTCCGCTGGTGCTGCCATCATCATCCGAGTCTACAACTCCAGTTCTCACATCTGCTGTTGCCATCTCCCAACCCAATGCCCTTGTCGATGTATTTGCTGGCAAGTCTCCTGAGGCTCTGGTCGAGACTGTCACGGTCACACACCCCCTTGTTAATAAACCCATACAAAACAGCCAGCCCACCAGTTCGGTCTCCAGCGTTCCCATTCACAGTGTCACCGAGCCCACCAAAGTGCCAAAGAAAGCCAGCAAGGCACGTCCCAGCAGTAAGAAGAACGGAAGGCAAGTATTTCTTTCCTGCTTACATGCTATCATTAGTACTGACATTGATACAGGGACCTTTGCATCCTTCATTGGCTCAAGCAAGTCAAGAAAGATGGGACTACAGCAGAGTTTCGTATCTACTGGGACGCACTTGATACCCAACAGTGCAATGTATGTTATCATTTTTTCTCACTGCTACTACTAGTACTAGTACCATCATGCTGAACTCATCCAATTCTGTTAGTCTTACGAGTCTGAAGCAGTTCAATTGGTGAGTGTTACTTCAAGTTGTATTTTCAGTATTGATCTGAATCTTTACTCAGGTTTCCTCAAACATCTGGGTCAAGAATACAGTCGGCTCAGTTGTCGACGGTACTTTGCATTGAGCGCGCACATTGCATGCCTGGGCTGTTAAGACTACCTTCATTCCATTGTTTTCGTGCTCTGTTTCAACTACATATCATTCCATGGATTGTATATGTATTTTGTACTACTAGTAGCTATGGTTTGAAGCAATATGATATGAACTATTCTCGCATGATATCAAACTGCTCGCAAGGAATGCAAGGGAGTGCCACATCATGTAGAAACAACTTGAATGACTCTTGCACGACGACACACGATATGGACTCCTTCTGCATCGTGTATTTGTCTGGATTTCTTGTCAAGATCATGCAAGGGCGGTTTCAGCCGGCAGTGCATGATGTGGCACGCTCTCACATGTTCCCACACTGACTGGTTTTCACTGGGCCTGATTTGAACCTCCTTTCTTTGCCTACCACTGCTCGACTTGGAAATGCAGACCAGCCCATGACTGCACTGCACCCATTGCAATTACATCAACAATTATTGACACACCAGCCAGAAAATTTGAATTTCACACTCTAAATTGGGACTGCGTTAGTGTTGCCGCAGCTTTGGCTTGTTGCCGGTTCCAGCCATGGCCCGAGCTATAAATAGCTGAGCCGACATGTGGTTACAGCTTTTGTAATTATGGTTCAGCTCGGCTCGAGAGTTATAGCTAAGTCAATTTAAGGGCTTAAAGCCAACTTAAATATATATTTTTAAATTATAAGCCAAAAATAGATTTACAATTGAGAACTTCAGTCCCAAGAACCGCAAGGAGAACTTAGACACTGATTGTCGATCACACCAATTCACAACATGCAATCTACATTTACAATCACGTTACTAATATTAATGAGGCCACAGGACAAAGTGAGTGACTATGATAACGTTGGATCAAAAACTAAGATAGATATCTAGTTGTACAGTAGTCTGGCTTGCGCGCACAGAATGCGAGAGCAGCGCACATCAGCGCAACACACCAAAAGACGTGTTGAAACACAGCAGGGAGTTTTGAGAGATGGAGAAATTCGGAGAGGAGAGGAAGGGAGTAATACGACTTGGAGGTCCAACTGGAGACGTTACTTGCAGAGATTGATGGGTCGCAGTGGCGGGAATTAGGATTTGTCTTGTCGTGTTGAAGAAGCTGCATGTTTGGGTTGGGAGGGAATACAGTAGATGTTTGTATCTTGATAGAAATACAAACTCGAAGTTCTGGAACCACTGTCACCAAATATTAAACATATGCATGAAGAACATCGACAGAATTACGGTGAGCAAAGACTTGGGTCAGCGTGGCCCAAAATCGAACAAGGTTCAACAGACTGACGGTGGGCAAAGACTTGGGTCAGCGTGGCCTGAGAATGAACGAGGATTGAGAGACTTATGGTGAGCAATGACTCGGGTCAGCATGGCCCAAGATCAAACAAGGATTGACAGACCAACTTCCTGTGAACGATGGGCAATGACTTGGGTCAGCATGGCCTGAGAATGAACAAGGATTGAGAGACTTACAGTGAGCAACGACTTGGGTCAGCAATGCTAAATCTGCTGGTTTGTTATCAGAACAATCAGTATATTGACACAATCTCTGTAGCACATGGTAAACAACCCGCAAGAAATGAGAAATGGTAAAGTCAGACAAGAAAAGTAAGAAGTGTCACTTGTCGTAGATAGTAGCACATGGTAAACAACCCGCAAGAAATGAGAAATGGTAAAGTCAGACAAGAAAAGTAAGAAGTGTCACTTGTCGTAGATAGTAGCAGTGTCCTCGATGTTATCACACTCATCCTCCGCTATAGCTCTGAGAAGAGTATCGTTTGCATTGGCGGAAGGTGTCAAGTGCTCATAGGAGCTTCTGTTGTATACCATGCACTGTTCCATATCCCATTGAGAGGCTGCCCAACCTTTAGTGAAGTCGAGGTGTTCCTTCATCAGGAAAAATTTGACCATCTGTAATGCTTCCATCAAAACAGGGCTGATACAATTCCTTTTTTTTGTATGAGTTTCGCTACTCGAGGAAAATACCCGCTCGCATGGCACAGCAGAGGCTTGTATTGGAGTATAGTCCATGGCGATTGAGTAGATGGTTGGGAACATGGACTGTGAAGCCTAGTTGACAACTTGTGGTTAATGACAAAGGGTGGGACTTGAAGGCGAATGGACTCACATTACAAAACACAAGTATATCTGTGCCCTGAGGACTAAGAGCAGCCGTAGTGTATGCCATGAACTCTTGATCTACAGTTTGACCATTGTCATGGGAATGCGATATATGCGCCTCGGGAAGTCTGTAGTGACGTGCACCTAGTGTACATGGTTGTTGTTGTATAGCTACTACAGGTCAACATTGCGCAGGATCAGAGCGTTCTGCTCTCTTGCTATGCATCTGCGGAACAAATCAGTCCAAAGTCGCACCTTTACCATGACTTATTACGGAGACATACCAACTTCACGATAAAATTTTTGGTAGCAGCAATTCGGTCCACCTCCCATCAAGTGTTGATCCATGACATTCACATCGTAGGGTCAACAACTACAAAAGTAATCATGAGATCAACATTTATTTTGAAAAAAAAATATGGGACTGACACATAGCAACAGCATAAGCATGTGTCACACTCATCCAGGTGGTGTATTTGCTTGCCCAGGTTAAGCCTATGTCGACAAAAGGTTTACAATGAGGTGCATGCAGGCAAATAGACTCCCAGCCCTCGATCATCTCTTCAAACACTGGAACTGCATGACTCAGCAAGGGAGTGCTTTCACTAGAGAGTTTTTGCTGGGCGATGTGGGGAGCCTGGTATGAAATCGTAAGATGCATAATGGGTTTTGAAGTTTGAACACACCTCCAATATCACTTCCAGATCCTCAAGGAACTGCCAATCTATTTCACTCAATTTTCTCTTGGATATGTTGCATTGAGGCCAAGCGTCGAAAAAGGCACTTATTGCCTGGGCCAGTATTAGTCTATGTGATATATTTAGTGGTGGGCATCTTACCTGATGGAGTGTCCGCAAGCGGTTGATCATAACATATACTGAATCCCATCTAGTAGGCTCGTCTAGGAGGACCTCTATGACTGGGAGCTGCGTACGCTCGCCTGTATCATCTCAAAACCATCCCTCCTCATTACCCCTAAGGATAGTGTCATGAAACCTGTCATGCCGCTGGTTTGATGCATGGATCAGCCGCACGACATGTCTGGCTTGCTCGAGAGGCTTGTTTTGCACAGCCTGGATGTAATTCAGTTTGTCAATGATCTGACCTTTGACTGACCATGTATCGGCCACAACAGAGAAGTCGGCAGTAGTGTATTCATTGATAATATGCTTCACGCATATGTTTACAATGTGCAGAAAACATGGTATCCTGTGTTCAGTCGGATTAAAATCAATGCCACGTTGCTCAAGTA